TTTTTTTTCACTGCAGTGAATTTTATTCAACAAAAAAAAGTTAACGGTATTATAGCGGTGATGTGTTAAGTAAGAATTGTGTTTAAGAAGCGATTGCCACCGTGCTATATTGTGCCGTTTGTTGTGGTTGCACTAGCGATTTCGACGAATTGGGCAAGTGTTTGCCAGCCATGGTCATGCATTGGATCGTTTGCCCAGGAGACGTTCGCCTTACAGCTGTGGCTTGTCGCCCTAAATGGTGGCCTTATGCTCATCTCAATCGCTGCTACCGAGAGTGCTTATTTGACCGCAAAGTGAGTTGTTCACTTATAATTGGAACGTTTCCGTTCGAAAATTACATCCTCACACTTACAATTTGTCGTGATTGACATTATATCAGTACATTGATTTTGGCTTATCAAAGGTTTTATTTACATGGTGAAAGAAGCGTGATTGGTCGGTGTCCATTCCACATCTGTGGCATTCTGCATTATGTTTGTGCTACTGATTGCAGAAATTACGCAGATGCTGAGATCCGCAGATGTGTGTATTTCCTGGCGAATCATCCGTACGAACTGAGCTCAAGAATGCTGTGTGTTGAACGAAATTTTTATTTCATTCCTATTGGAGCGATTGTTCATTTTGGATGCTGGGTTTCGGTGATACTAGCAACCGAATATCAAAATACTGCAGTAACCGTGTACGTTCTCGTCTTCAATAAATGACTTTAGCAGTACATTTAATGTCATTCGACGTTTGCAACGTTGTAGAACTACAAAGAAAGACTGGCCTTGATACATATAATTCTCCTGAATATTACGACTTGCTTCATGCCTGCTCATGTCATGGATGGAAGGAACATCACATGACAAGTCTGAGCAGCTTCACATGACAAAGAGAGTCTCGATTATTCTTTTCATTTCAGTATTGCAGTGACTTTTCTCGTAGCATACAGCATCTTCATCATTGCACAGCTCATTTTCACAAGAGGCGAGGTAAGACATGCATCCTTTATGTGAACTAATAGAAACAGATCTTAACCATTTTGGTGAGCACGTCCCATAAAGATGGTGGCGTTCACAAGAGTTGAACAATTGTTCTAAAAAGAGATACTTGAATTCAGCGATAACTTCATGGAGCGAATTCGACTGAAAAATCGAAAATGCACACTAACAATAAGTGAACGTTAGGCCAATAAGTGGTGCTTAATGGAAATGTTGACCGCAATCGATGAATTCAAATTACAGTTGCATAAGTACGTAACGATAATCGCGATGATGTTTCTACCGAAATCATTGGCACCAGAATTTGAATTCTACGATATGCTCACAAGAGATGAAGTGCTTGCTAAATGGAAACCGTCGAGATATCTGAAGGAAAAACAAGATAACGAGAAAGCAGAACAGTTGGAACGCAATGAACTCGTTCGACAAATCCAGCATCAAAATGCCGAACTCTCAAAAAAGGTTGTTTTACTGACGTTGATGATACATCTATATTGAAAGATCACGACTCTGTGAATGAAATTCGAAACTCAAGCAGATTTAGTATGTCCATTCAGAATTCCTTCAAGGGATCCGAGCAATTTTTTCTTATTCACACAACTCTCTATAAATTTGCATTTTCTCGTATTTAACACCATCTGATTGAAAGTCTTCTTCTGCTTCCCTATAGTTGGAATTTTTCGAATGTTATCATCGTAAAAATTTCAATTTCATTCGCTGTGTTTGCTAAATGCTTGTTGAAAGTATTTGTTTGTAGTATGCAAATTTACCATCCATATTGTTATTCAACATACCCGACGAAGGTCCTCCGGTCAGATTTCCAAGTGAATTTCCACTGTCACCAATGGACGATGAATATATACCGGAATGGCAGCGTATGATGTTTCAAAATGACTGGACGAACACCTATATGAATTGTCGTCGAGACGGCATGAATGTTGATGATGCAATCATGGTATTCTCCGTTAATTTGATTGGTCAACTGAAACGTCATCATAAAAGAATACCATCGAATCAATTAGCGCATGTTTCATTCGCACAGTCCTCTCTAACACTAATTAACACTCACAAATGCACCCGAGTTGATTTCGGTTCTGAGTTATTGATAAAGTTTGCGTAGTTGCAAGTTAGTTTATACTTTCAGACAACGAAAAAGGTCATCATTGATCAAGATGATTACCTGATGAATTTGACGCCAGGTGGACTCCTTCTTTGGACTGGTTGGATGAATCGAATGCGAGCCGAAGATACCTTCTCTAAAGAACTTCTCGAAAATCGCAAAGTCATCAAATACTATCTGAGAGCATAAACTATTCTTGTTATTCAATGCAAAAACACTCTTGTGAATAGATGAATGAGAATCTAATGTTGAGGATTTTATAGATAAGAAATCCGTTCGATTCGCTACCTGATACGAATAAATCAGACAATCCGGTAAATGAGGAAGCAAACAGATTACATGTGCTGAACGGAGAGACAATCCGCGAGCGGATTGTGAAAGCACCATCTGTACGCCTCAAAATGCAGGTACTGATAGTCCATTTTCGATGTCTTTTTGACGAGTTCATTAGAATATTGTTGATGTCTCCGATTGAACACGTGGATAAAGTTGATTTTCAGATCAGAGCAATGTCAGAGATATGGCAAGAAACTATGAAACAACGAAACGCTCCGTTTGATGCAGTCTACGCAGACGATCCAATTGTTGCGCATCTCATCGAAACCTCTGATAAGGAGACAGTTTACGATATATTGGTAGATTCGTTTGATGTCTAAAGGAAGAATTCATTTGTATCAAAAACAACTTCTTAGTTATGCGAGAGAAATTTCTCAGCAGTCCTCATTGTTTTCCAACTCACCAGTTGCATGGCAAGTTAATTTGTTCGCCTCGGTGAGCATGATAGAAACGGCGAGAACAATTGAAGTCATTCAGTGGGTTAAATCAGCTGATGGAATGAACTCCATCATTTTCAACTGTCCTATGCAAAAATTCCTAACGAATCTCTGTGGTTTGATCGCAATAACTTAAAATGAAGCAATGCATATGTTTGGATAAGTTTATGCGCACATGAAATGGTGCTAATTTGAGGTAACAATAAATTGATGTGTTGAGTTGATTCTTCGATATTCCTTGAACTTGTTGCATTGTGGCAAGTCTGAGGGAATCGATATTTCGATTTGTCTATTGAAGAATGTGCAAGAAGCTGAAATCGAACGACCAAAGTTTGCGGAGTCTCAAAGACCAATCTCACTGAATCCCAGACGTCGCCCACTCGATGAGTTCTGGCTTGATCCCGACATGCCAGGCTTTGTCGGTCCGCATGATCTGTCCAGTTTCGATAATCCGGTTTTCGATCCAGACCTGCGTGCACGCCGATTTTTCAACAAAATTTTGGATCGTCAATGGAAAACGGCATGTGAGCAGAACACTGAATTTGAACTCGCCATGTTGCATTTGAGAAGTTGGTTTCGTTTCATTTCGATTCAAAGTTTCAAGCTCTGCCGTCGTGAACAAGCGTTTTGCCGCATGCTCAAAATGCTACGGATCACTTTAACAAGACCAAAAATTTCAGTTTCAGAATTCATTATAAATACTCCTTTCATTGAATTAGTAATTGCACTGAATGTCGTCAATTCAAAGTAATTTTTATCGATGTTTCGATCCAGAATTCAAATCGGACATTTTATTTCAGGTAAAAGTTATTCAGTCATGAACTTCTTCACATAATACTAGTCAACACATTCATTAGAGGTGTTTGTGTCGTGAACGATGTCAATGAAATGCAAGCAAATGGCTGAAGATAGCGGCGATGTTCACTGCAGAGATTGTTGTTTCTTTACGGTGTACGGCGTTGATTGCTATTTCAAATGTGCTTGTGCTACGTGGGCTTAGGCAACGAATGACAATTGCTTTGCAATCACAACGAGGCAATCTATTTAAATTTCAACCAAATTCAGTCTGGGTCGTTGAATATTTCATAAAGTCGCACTTTACACACGGCGAAATTGTTCACGTTTATTTGCAAAGTAAATTAATCGCATTCATTCCACTGATCTAGAGTTATGTGGTCAGTTATATCGTTGCAACCCAATTCAGTCATTAAATACTGTACTTGTGTTGTTGTTTCATAAATAATCAGAATTCTGTGATTAATTCTGCAGATATCATTTTGATGCTCGTGTGATGTTTTCGTTTTTTTTTGTTTTGTTTATTCGCACAGTAAATATGCTTTTGTTAAAGACACCTAGAAAATAGGCGAAAATACGAACGAGGACTATATTTGCTAGGATTTATTCAGAGACCGGAGAATGAGACGGCCATTTTAAGCGAAGAAACTGTGAAGGAATTTTTTGCCACAGCTATCATTATCATCAATGATCTCGATCACATGACATGAGGCGACCAAAGAAACGAAACTGTGGTGTGGTATGCTGCGTTCAGTTGTCAAAGGTTTTGATGCAAGAAAATTGAAGTGTAGAGTTTAGTTGTATTTTTCGGATGTCAAAAGAGAAGAAAAACCGNAGAAGACAAGCAGTATTAATGGTTGTTTGTTTATTTATTTGTCAACTTCTTATCTTCATTTAGCATTTATGTTCAATACATAGTTTTAATGGACGGAGAATGTAGGTGGAATCGAATTGGTTTCAGTGATAGTGACAGTGATTAAGAATTGGAATTTCACATGTCTATAGTATAGAATCAATGATCGCAACAAAAAAAGGAAAATTGAAATGGGAACATTCATTTTTTATTTATGAACACTGAAATGAATGAAATGACTCACAGAAGGTTAATGTGCTCATTCGAGAATCTTATTCTTATTCTGCAGAATTTGAATGCGTCAATCATCCGATGGCACAGTTTGACGTTTGAATCATTGGAATTTTGTGCATCACCCTCACCTAGGTGATAATTATGATCAATCTGAATGATGAAATGAGTTCTTCGACGCAATCTCGACTAAGGTTACGTGAAAGAAGGGTGCGTAGGGAAGCATTTTTCTGCGATTGCCATTCCCCCTTGAAGTACTACGATATAAAGTATAATAGTTTGCTTACGTCCCAACTCATTGTTAAAGTGAGAATATATTTCAATTTTTGCACCATAAACCAGTCCATTTTTATTTCACTGTATCACCACATTGCTGTTCTTTTCTTCGTCTTGCAATCGATGAAGATCGCAGTGAATATTTTTCCAATCTAAAGAAAAAATTAAGAAAATTTATGGAACGAACGTTCAATTGTTGTGGTGATTATATCGAATGATGATGAATGAGATCACATAAAATAGATGGATGCCTGCTAAATGACAATATTTCAAATGAGATGCAAAAGAAATTCCAAATGGAACGTTAACGACATTTTGATTGTATAATATGCTGAGAAGTGAATGGGTTATTTGATGTGGATGTATAGAAGATGATGACGAGATAAATGAGATGCGGTATTGCGAGACGGAATGAGACATTCTATTTGATCTCCATTCACTTTTTT